GTACCACTAGGCAAAAAAACGATTATCAGAAAACAAATAATCGCACAATTAATGAGGATGGAAATTAGATCTCAGAAATTATTGAAAAACAGTTTTAAAACAAATGTAGAAGCAAGTCGAGCTCAGCTTTTGAAATAGAGCATTAAAAACCTCCAAAATTTTATTGGTCGGTTATCCTCAGTCTGAGTACACCCAAACAGCTTTTGTCGACATGCTCGAAGTTAACGAGTACCACTAGGCAAAAAAAAAACGATTATCAGAATAAAAATAATCGCACAATTAATGAGGATGGAAATTAGATCTTAGAAGTTATTGAAAAACAGTTTCAAATCAAATGCAGAAGCTAGTCGAGCTCAGCTTTTAAAATAGAGCATTAAAAACATCCGACAATTTATTGGTCGGTTAGCTTCAGTCTGAGTACACCCAAACAGATTTTGTCGACCTGTTCAACATTAATGAATACCACTAGGCACAAAAATGGTTATCAGAAAACAAATAATCACAAAATTAATGGGGATGGAAATAAGATCTTAGAAATTATTGAAAAACAGTTTCAAAACAAATGTAGAAGCAAGTCGAGGTCAGCTTTTAAAATAGAGCATTAAAAATCTCCAACTTTTTATTGGTCGGTTATCTTCAGTCTGAGTACACCCAAACAGCTTTTGTCGACCTGTTCGACATTAATGAGTACCACTAGGCAAAAGAACGATTATCCGAAAACGAATAATCGCACAATTAATGAGGATGGAAAATAGATCTTAGAAATTAATGAAAAACAGTTTTAAAACAAATGTAGAAGCAAATCGAGCTCAGCTTTTGAAATAGAGCATTAAAAACCTCCAACATTTTATTGGTCGGTTATCCTCAGTCTGAGTACACCCAAACAGCTTTTGTCGACATGTTCGAAGTTAACGAGTACCACTAGGCAAAAAAACGATTATCAGAAAATAAATAACCGCACAATTAATGAGGATGGAAATATGATCTTGGAAATTATTGAAAAACAGTTTCAAATCAAATGTAGAAGCAAGTCGAGCTCAGCTTTTAAAATAGAGCATTAAAAACCTCCAACATTTTATTGGTTGGTTATCTTCAGTCTGAGTACACCCAAACAGCTTTTCTCGACCTGTTCAACATAAATGAAAAACACTAGGCAAAAAAAACGATTAACAGAATATAAATAATCACTGAAGGCTTGAGGATGGAAATTAGACCATAGAAATTATTGAAAAGCAATATCAAATCAGATGTAGAAGCTAGTCGAGCTCAGCTTTTAAAATAGAGCATTAAAAACTTCCAACATTTTATTGGTCGGTTATCTTCAGTCTGAGTACACCCAAACAGCTTTTGTCGACCTGTTCGACATAAATGAGTACCACTAGGCAAAAAAACGATTATCAGAAAACAAATAATCGCACAATTAATGAGGATGGAAAATAGATCTTAGAAATTAATGAAAAACAGTTTTAAAACAAATGTAGAAGCAAATCGAGCTCAGCTTTTGAAATAGAGCATTAAAAACCTCCAACATTTTATTGGTCGGTTATCCTCAGTCTGAGTACACCCAAACAGCTTTTGTCGACATGTTCGAAGTTAACGAGTACCACTAGGCAAAAAAAACGATTATCAGAAAACAAATAACCGCACAATTAATGAAGATGGAAATATGATCTTAGAAATTATTGAAAAACAGTTTCAAATCAAATGTAGAAGCAAGTCGAGCTCAGCTTTTAAAATAGAGCATTAAAAACCTCCAACATTTTATTGGTTGGTTATCTTCAGTCTGAGTACACCCAAACAGCTTTTCTCGACCTGTTCAACATAAATGAAAAACACTAGGCAAAAAAAACGATTAACAGAATATAAATAATCACTGAAGGCTTGAGGATGGAAATTAGACCATAGAAATTACTGAAAAGCAATATCAAATCAGATGTAGAAGCTAGTCGAGCTCAGCTTATAAAACAGAGCATTAAAAACTTCCAACATTTTATTGGTCGGTTATCTTCAGTCTGAGTACACCCAAACAGCTTTTGTCGACCTGTTCGACATAAATGAGTACCACTAGGCAAAAAAACGATTATCAGAAAACAAATAACCGCACAATTAATGAGGATGGAAATATGATCTTCGAAATTATTGAAAAACAGTTTCAAATCAAATGTAGAAGCAAGTCGAGCTCAGCTTTTAAAATAGAGCATTTAAAACCTCCAACATTTTATTGGTCGGTTATCTTCAGTCTGAGTACACCCAAACAACTTTTGTCGACCTGTTCGACACTATTGAGTACCACTAGGCAAAAAAACGATTATCAGAAAACAAATAATCGCACAATTAATGAGGATGGAAATTAGATCTTAGAAATTATTGAAAAACAGTTTTAAAACAAATGTAGAAGCAAATCGAGCTCAGCTTTTGAAATAGAGCATTAAAAACCTCCAACATTTTATTGGTCGGTTATCCTCAGTCTGAGTACACCCAAACAGCTTTTGTCGACATGTTCGAAGTTAACGAGTACCACTAGGCAAAAAAACGATTATCGGAAAACAAATAACCGCACAATTAATGAGGATGGAAAGATGATCTTAGAAATTATTGAAAAACAGTTTCAAATCAAATGTAGAAGCAAGTCGAGCTCAGCTTTTAAAATAGAGCATTAAAAACCTCCAACATTTTATTGGTTGGTTATCTTCAGTCTGAGTACACCCAAACAACTTATGTCGACCTGTTCGACACTATTGAGTACCACTAGGCAAAAAAAAACGATTATCAGAAAACAAATAATCGCACAATTAATGAGGATGGAAATTAGATCTTAGAAATTATTGAAAAACAGTTTTAAAACAAATGTAGAAGCAAGTCGAGCTCAGCTTTTGAAATAGAGCATTAAAAACCTCCAAAATTTTATTGGTCGGTTATCCTCAGTCTGAGTACACCCAAACAGCTTTTGTCGACATGCTCGAAGTTAACGAGTACCACTAGGCAAAAAAAAAACGATTATCAGAATACAAATAATCGCACAATTAATGAGGATGGAAATAAGATCTTAGAAATTATTGAAAAACAGTTTCAAATCAAATGCAGAAGCTAGTCGAGCTCAGCTTTTAAAATAGAGCATTAAAAACATCCGACAATTTATTGGTCGGTTAGCTTCAGTCTGAGTACACCCAAACAGATTTTGTCGACCTGTTCAACATTAATGAATACCACTAGGCACAAAAATGGTTATCAGAAAACAAATAATCACAAAATTAATGGGGATGGAAATAAGATCTTAGAAATTATTGAAAAACAGTTTCAAAACAAATGTAGAAGCAAGTCGAGGTCAGCTTTTAAAATAGAGCATTAAAAATCTCCAACTTTTTATTGGTCGGTTATCTTCAGTCTGAGTACACCCAAACAGCTTTTGTCGACCTGTTCGACATTAATGAGTACCACTAGGCAAAAGAACGATTATCCGAAAACGAATAATCGCACAATTAATGAGGATGGAAATTAGATCTTAGAAATTACTGAAAAACAGTTTCAAATCAAACGTACAAGCTAGTCGAGCGCAGCTTTTAAAATAGAGCAATGAAAAAATTCCAGCATATTATTGGTCGGTTATCTTCAGTCTGAGTACACCCAAACAGCTTTTGTCGGCCTGAACATTTATATTAAAATTAGAAGCTAGTCGAGCTCAGCTTTTGAAAAAGAGCATTAAAAACTTCCCAGATTTTAATGGTCGGTTATCTTCAGTCTGAGTACACTAAAACAGCTTTTGTCGACCTGTACATTTAAATCAAATATAGAAGCTAGTCGAGCTTAGCTTTTAAAATAGAGCATTAAAAATTACCAACACTTTATTGGTCGTTTATCTTCAGTCTGAGTACACCCAAACAGCCTTTGCCGACCTGTTCGACACAAAGGAATTCCACTGAGCAAAAAAAAAAAACAGAAAACAAAAATTCACACAATTATTCAGGATGAAAAAAGACCTTAGAAGTAATTGAAAAACAGTTTCAAATTAAATGTAGAAGCTAGTCGAACATAGCTTTATAACGGAGCATTAAAAGCTTCCAAATTTTTTTGGACGGTTATCTGCAGTCTGAGTACACCCAATCAGCTTTTGTCGACCTGTTCGACATATAAATAGCACTCAGCAAAAAAAAACAAGCATCAGAAAACAAACAATCACACAATTATTGAAGATGGGAAACGAACCTTAGAAATTAACGAAAACCTTATTTAAATCAAAAGTAGAAGCTAGCCGAGCTCTTCTGTTAAAATAGAGCTTAAAAAACTTCCAACATTTATTGGCCGGTTATCTTCAGTGTTAGTACAGCCCCAACAGCTTTTGTCTACCTGCTTAAAATGAATACCACTAAGCAAAAAAAACGATTATCAATAAACAAACAATCACAAAATTATTGAGGATGAAAACTAGACCTTGGAAATTATTGTAGAACCTAGTCGAGCTCTACTTTTAAAATAGAGCTCACGAAATTTCCAACGTTTATTTGGTCGATTATCTCCAGTCTGAGTACACCCCCAACATCTTTTATCTACCTGTTCGACATAAATGAATACCACTAAGCAAAAATACGATTATCAGTAAACAAATAATCACAAAATTATTGAGGATAGAAACTAGACCTTTGAAATTATTGTAGAAGCTAGTCGAGCTCTACTTTTAAAATACAGCTCACGAAACTTCCAAAAATTGCTTGGTCGGTTATCTTCAGTCTGAGTACACCCAAACAGCTTTTGTCGACCTGTTCGACATAAATGACAACCACTAAGCTAATAAAAACGATTATCAGAAAGAAAGCGTACCCAAATTCAAAATTCCTACTCATTTTCAATGATCGGATCAATTAAAGCGTCCTATGCTATTAACGAAACAGCAAATGAAAATTTCCGAACATTTATTCCATGATGTTTGAAATAAAATGTAGATAAAAGCTAGTTTTTTTTAAAATGTTTTACAACAGTTAACTGGTCTAAGAGGGAAAGCTAACCTGGTCTTGCAGAACGTCAATTGTAACATTTTGTCCAAAGTTCGCTCCGAGAAGGTTGCAATTAGCTTCTGACATAAAACTGAAGTGAAACACTCCAGCAATTTTATCTCTAAACAGTTTTTCTAGATATAAATGCCTATCAACTACTTTTTACTCAAAGAATTTTTAAAAAATTTTTAGCTATCGTCTTTTTTTCATTATAAAAAATAATTTTCAAAAGCATTTCTTGAATGTCAATTACATCTGACTCCGATGAGGGAACGCTCAAAGAGTAAAGTGATCTTTTTATCATAACCTTCAAAAGCATAGCCAATCGAAGATTGGAAAAAAGAAATGAAAGCAATATCAAAAACACTGAAATTGTTGAAAAAATCTTAAAATTAAATTCCACCTTAGAAACTGGAAATCGTTCGAGTTTTTTTGCGCCATTTCCACGTTTGTATTTCGAGAGGGCTATTTATGTCACCTTCAGCAGATGAATTTCAATTGAACTCAAAAACACTGAAAAACACTGAAAAAGTTCATATTTACCTAAGTGCATTCATAAATGCATCAATATGTATGAACGCACATCTGTAGTTATTAGAGACTTTTAGGACTTATCTCGAAAAAAAACACAAAAATGACCAAGACGTATAAAAGAGCCTTCACTACGCTCGCTACTCTTAAAAATTGCGCCAATTTGAACTTAACCCCACCGCGAAACCGCAGGTATGCGCCTGGTTTTCTTCCACGAACATTCGGATGTGACTTACTTAACATTGAATAAGTCGGTATATGACGCCAAATCCACAGTTCCAAAAGCAATGACGTAATCCGTAGCTAGAACATAAAACAAATCAGCCCGTTGAATTAAATCAAACCATTCCAGAAACTAAACAAAAAATACTGAATAAAACAGGAGTATAAATGTTTAAGTAGCAAGTACCCGGTCCGAATTATCATGGTAGAATTTTCCTTTAAAAATATTGAAAAACTAACAGCAAAGATAATGGAATTGCGTAATTTTTGCACTAATTTTTCAACTTTTTTCAGCTGGACTTTGGTTGTCTGTAAATTATTATAAGCTCTGAGGCTGAGCAGAGCTTAAGAATGTCGTAATTTAAAAAAAAATAAAAAAACGCTGGAATGCAAAACTCTCACAAATTAAGTGACTTCAGACTAATCATTTGATAAAGCTTTGAAAACGTTTAATATCAGACGAAAAAAAAAATTGTAGACAGAGCTTAATCCAGAGTAACAAATTGATTGTTGATAATTTGCTTCGCTTGTTTGGAGCAAAACAGCCATGTTAACCTAATTAACCAAGACAAGCCGCAACTAGCATTTTCATACGAAAACAAGGATAGCCGGTTTTTTATGCAAGTAGGACAGAAAGTGCCGACCATAGTCTTTAAAAAAAGCTAAACAAGTTTTTTTTCAAATTAGTGTAGTTTTTCTGCGTGGTGTGACAAAAAGATCTGACGTCAACCTATTATGTAGGCATATTCCAGTCCTAGTAAAATAGACAAATTGTACAACTATTATAGAAAAATGACCAGAAAAAAAAATTCAAAGTTATGAACTTTTTGAAGTTATTGAATCCCCAAATGGCGCTTAAAACTCCAAAACTGATTTTACTTGTTTGAAACTAAGTTTTTACGGCTTAAAAATTATGCTGAATTTAAGCCGCGAAAACTTAGTTTCAAGCAAGTAAAATAAGTTTGAATTTTTTAGCTTCATTTTGGGATTCAATAACTTCAAAAAATTCACAACTTTTCGGCAATTTTTTTTCTGGTCATTTTTCTACAACAGTTGTCCAATTTACCTATTTTACTAGGACTGGAATATGCCTACATAATAGATTGACATAGATCTTTTTGTCGCACCACGCAGAAAAACTACACTAATTAAAAAAAACTTGTAAGCCTGCTCGCTCACCTTACTCACTCGAAATTGAATTAAAAATCAAAAATTTTCAGCCAGTTTTTCTCGTTAATTTTCCAGTGCTAGATCATGATCAGTGACCGGTTTTCCATATGATCTCCAGACAAAATCAGACCTACAATTGTAATAACATCTTTTTGAGGATCCATCGCACAAAATCTCTCGTTATATTTCGTCAGTATCTCATTAATTAATCCTATCCTGCAAAACGTGAGAGAATAAGAAGAATTTGAGACATTTTTGTTTCGTTGCGTGTTTAATGATGCAATTATCAAAACCCAAAGTTTTCGGCTGGAAAAAAAAACTGGAAACTTCAACTATTATACAGAGAGCAACTCACCAAGACATGATACTGGCTTGTAGATGGAAGCCCGATTGAAGGTTAATCTGGGTGGTTTGTATTTAGGCACATTCAAGTACAGCAAAGCGGAAAAGAACTCCACTCGTGTTAGGTACAGGTCTAAACATATCGAACAATGCAGGAAACAGCACAATATTATCATCAACTCATTTCAACTCGTCGCTGTACTGAAACATTTAAAGGATCAAGTTCTATTTACGGCTTATAGCCTTGATTTAAAAAGAAAAGGAGTATTTTAGGCTTATTGCCCGGTCAGTAACAGGACCAAACTTTTGTCGGAAAAATTCGGCTCAAGAATAGCGCTCGTCTACACTAACCTATCAGTAAGTCCTTAAAACGGATTTCGATTGGTTCAACTTCGTAAAACGTCCTCCCAGCTTCCAAAAGATCCACGGATGACGACTGATTTTTCAGCGCTGAGTGCAGCATCTCCCAGCCCATCCCGACTTCATCTGCCTTGCCATTTGAGTTCGTGATTTTAAATGCTGCTCTGTTAAACCACGACTAAAATAAATAAGCGCCAGTTTTAAACTTTAAGAAGTCAACGCCAGGCAAATCGCAGATTTCTATTTTGCCAAACACTTTCACTATATATTGCCTCGTATGACAATGCAATTTGACTGCATCTTTATTTCTCGAGATATTACCAATATACAATCATAACTATAACAGACGCGTATTTCAACTTTACTTCAGGGCATGGCTTGGATAGTGATGAATCCCACGAATCTCTTCCGAGACACTTTTCTTTGGCCACGTTGCCAAGTATCTTGACATCTGGACATTCAGAAGTTGATACTTCTCCGGCTTTTACTCCAGTAAATAGAAGCTTCTGAGCAGATTCCAGAGAAGCACATACAGCTGAAGGCACATTTAAACCAATATAACTACAAGAAATTTCAATAAACCATTTGAAAAATGGTTAAAAAACTTACTTTTGTAACTATAACAGTCAAACTGAACTTCGAAATACATAAATAATCCAGAGTCACACGAGAGCACATTAGGTTTGATAAGCTCATCGACTTGAAATGAACACGAAGACTTGTAATTGCACCTTAAACAAACCAGCAGATACATAATTGTCAAATTCAGGTCAAAATCTTGAAAATGTGTTAGCTGGCACTGAAGAGAGAGAAAATTAAGGCGCTCACCGAGAAGACACCACAGTAGTTATTAGTTCCACAGAATTGTTAGTGCAGAGAGGCCATCCCGAATTAGGCTTGGGTGGGTATCCGGAGCAAACATGACGAATAACTTGTTCGTAACTGCCATATGAGGCACTTACATACTGTGGCCGAGAAATTTCTGGGTCCGGACACAAACCAGAAAAGGCTACCTCTCCTTGGTCAACGCAGCCAAATTTAGTGCCTTGACAAAAAATTTTGATAGTAAGATTAAGTAAGTTAAAAAACTTGCAAGTAAGTTAAAATGACTTATTGGCAAGTAATTTATGAAAAGATTTCTGAGAAACTGAGTTTTCCAAACGTGGTAGAAAGTTGAACTAACTTATTAATTGAAAAAGGCAACTTACAAGTATGGGAAAACTATTTTCTAGAAAGTGCACAGCCGTAGCAGTAGTGATAAGTAAAAAAAAAATTTAAATTAATAAGTTACCTCTAGACAGAACAGGAGTCGAAAATAGAAGCAAAGTTATGATGATCTGTGATAACGCGGAATAGTTCATTCTGAGGTCAGTTGCGCTATGTTTCGTTCTTCAGTCTTGTACTTTGCATCGAGTTGTGCATACTTTTCTATTAAAGGAGAATTAAGTTGTCTCGCCATTATTCAGACGCTAATTTCCCAGCGGTATTTACAGTTTTCTACTGCTGACGAATAAAAATTGAATATAAACAGCGGGGCTCAAAAAACACAAAACATACTCGAGGTCACAAGCACCGTTAGTAACCCTGATGAGGTTCCAGTTCAAAGATCGTTATATAGTATGAGCTTTTAGTCCGTCTTAACCTTCAGTTTCGTCGTTGATTAAAAATTTCTACAACTATGCTTTCTACATGAATTCTTATTTACAGAGGTGAGAAGGGGTGAGAAGAGTGTGATTTGTTTTGCTTTGTGCCTTGTGAGTTTCATTACTCGTGGCCTGCAAAACAATGACCACAGTACTTTTGCCTGCTGTTTGGCTCAGACAAATTTTGAAAAGGAAACTAACTTGGAAAATTGTGTTAGACTATTTAAAATTCTTTAAAAAAGTTCAAGTATCTGTACATAGACTGAAGTTTCTGAGAAAATGTCTGAAAAACGATCTAATACCGGACTTTTTGAAGTTTAGGGTCCCCGAGAACGGGGTTTTTTCGGACCAAGCTGTGCATAATTATCAATTGAAACTACTAAGGACTGAAACTTCTAGGGCAAATGAGGATAGGAAAAGGTACGAGGAGATGCTAAGGAAAGCAAGATCACTGGTGCAAAAAGAAATTGACAAACAGTGGTGGGCATCCATTTTCCGATTCGTGAGGCGTCAAGTTGAGGCAAGCTTAAATACAACATCAGAAAACCATAGAAAAAAGTTAGAAAAACTGTCCGAGAGACAAGATAAACCTCTTGGGGGGAGAAATGAGCGATCAGTTAAGGTACTTGATAATATTGAACTGCCTGAATGGGTATATGAAGTGCTATCAATGGGCCCCAAGCATCCAATTAGAGACAAATTTAACGAAACACATTTTTTGGCGGATATCGACATTTTCCTCTCACAATTGAAAAATCAAAAAACATCTGGTGAAACGTTATGTGAAATAGAAGCCGCGGCAAAGGCATATGCAAAAAACGTACGGCAAACCCCAAGAGACAAAGCCGTTGAAAAAACGAGGAAATATCTCAAAGATAATGGGTTGCTGGCTGTGCCTTTTGATAAGGGGGTTGGTTTTTGCATAATGAGGAAACAAACATATGAATCAAAGCTGGAATCCTTGTTGCAATCTGCTCAGTTTGTGAAAAAAGATGCAACCACTGATGAGGTGAAACTGAAAATTGAGAAAGAACTTAACAAAGAATTACTAGCCATGAACAAAAGAGACGAGATAAGTGATCAGTTATATACTAAAATGAGATCAACAGGGGGCAACCCGCCCGTTTGTACGGTTTAGCTAAGGTACACAAGGATGAGACACCCCTACGACCTGTACTATCACTTCCCGGCAGCTCGTATGAGAATCTTAACAAAATGCTTGCAAAGTTTTTTAACAACATCGATGGAGCAAATATAGAAACCAATACTAAAGAGGCTAGAGAAAAAATAGAAAACATTGCTCTAGATCCGGATGAAACCATAAAATCTCTTGATGTGAAAAGTTTGTACACCAACGTTCCCCTGAAGGAGGCAATTGAAATTGCTTTACAGAAGCTGTACAGCCGGGAGTCTCCTCCTGAAATTCAAAGAGCAACCATGAAAAGACTTTTGAATATGGCGGTCAGCAAAGTGTATTTCAAGTGTAATGATTCATGGTATGTACAAGTTGATGGTTTAGCAATGGGCGCGTCCCTCGCTGTAATTCTGGCAAACTTATGGCTGAAAGAATACGAATTTGCTCTACGACAACAAATACCGGTGGGAACGGGGGTACAGCAAATTAATGACAAAAACGGCTTGTGCCCATGTTGCAGCAGGAAAGTCACATATAGATCAAAGGGGGTTGAATGCGAGAGTTGCCGAAACTGGTATCATCTAAAATGCGGAAAAATATCCGATGACGTATACGCATCAATAACCGAGATAGTCTGGTACTGTGAAAGCTGCTGCCGAGCTAAGAACAAGGAGAAGGATACTCCCCAGGTGAAATTGTTCCTCAGGTATGTGGATGACATTGTTAGAACAGTCAGAGAGGAGCCGAGTTGTCTTCTCGATGCCGCCAATTCTCTTCATCCAAATTTGCAGTTCACTCTAGAGAAAACTAATTCGGAGGGGAATTTGCCGTTCCTGGATTTGAACATAAATGTATCGCAGGATAGGCGTGTAACTTGCAGTTGGTATCAAAAACGAACAGATACAGGGACTATACTGAACTATAGAAGCTGCGCCCCAACTCAGTATAAGCGTAGTGTTATCCAAGGCACTGTACAAAGGGTTTTTATGAGTACATCTAGCTGGGGGCAATTTGATAAGGCTTTGGAAACTAATAGGGCGCAATGGCTGACAAATCAGTACCCTGAAAATTGGTCCGCAAAGGTGGCTTCAGACGCCTTGTGCAAGATCATCGAGGGTAAAGGCAAGCCCCTGGATAGTGACAGGGGTTTGTCAGTTCAATCACCAAAGGATGAGAAGCCCCCAATGCTGATGGTGCAATATAGAGGTAACCAGAGCCAATATTTTGCTAACAGGTTACGAAAATTAACGAACGTTCAAGTGGTTTTCACCACAAGAAAACTACAATCATGTTTACCATCACTGAAGTCAGCATTTTCTAATGACCTCAAGTCAAGAGTGGTTTATAAACTGTCATGTAGTGGATGCACTTCCACCTATGTCGGACAAACTGTTCGACATTTGACCACTAGAATTGAGGAACATAAGAAAGCAGACTCACCGGTAGGCCTCCACCTTCAGCAATGCCAACTTGAGGGAAATAGCGCAGATCTTAGTTGGGAAATTATAGATAGGTCAAACAACCAAACAAAATTAGTAACACTAGAGGCAATACATATCAGGAAAGAGAAACCGGGCTTGAACACGCGCGATGAGTTTAGGAGCAGGGAGTTAACACTGAAAATTTAGTCCCAAAATGTTTTTAGTTTTTTATTCAAAACGTACATGTCTAAATCGAAATTATGACTCAGAAACTTCCAGACAAACTAATTTCAAAATGTTTAATTAATTTTAGAGGTTAAAAGTTTTTTAATCTTAATAGTAATTTAGAGGTCAACTGTGATTGGCTAATTTTTTATCATGATGGTTTAGAACCAAATTGTATGTCATTTATTGTAAATAACATTTGTAAATTGATGTTTTATCGTCATTTAGAGTAGTTTATTGTAAAAATCCTGACGATGCACATAGTTGCGAAAACGTTTGAAATTTACTTTTTAGCAAAAATTTCTTCAATTCTTATTTAGCTGTAAATTGTTTGCTAATGAATTATTCAACTCGAAAATTTTTTTCATAGTATCCAGAAAACCATTCTGCATAAATTAGAAACACTTTTTCATACAAAGAGATCTAAATAATTTCTGACGATGCACATAATTGCGAAAACGTTCGAAATTTACTTTTTAGCAAAAATTTTTTAAATAAATTGTAAAGGATCAGTTTTTTTTTAGAATCATTTTTTGTTTAGAACCATCTAATTGTCTTTTAAGATGTTTTAACTAAAATCCGATGACGAAATGAGCAGTTTCAAATAAATTAACTTCGTTCAGATTCTGACCGAAAATGCTATTGCAAACAATTTGGCATTATAAAAGTGAATGAATAATTATAAAAACATAAATTATATAAATATATAATTATAAAAATTATAAAGTGGCTAATGAGTTTGATTTTACTAAAAAAACACTTGATGGAAGCTTTTCTGGCAATAAAAATGTTACTACAATTTATAGAATTTTACTGCAAAAAAAAGTTTCTGTTTTTTCATTTTCGCGTATACTTATTTTTTGAAGACAAATTTATTTTTCTATGCCTAATCTACTAACTTTCTCTGCGTTTGTATAGTTCTATAATGACCTCACGCAGAAGAAACGACGCCTATTTGAAGATTAGAAAAAAGTTTTTGTAGTCTTTACCAATGCTGCCGGAACAAACATTCTGCGGAACTTTTTTTTTCTTTTTTATCTTTCTTTTTTATGGGTAATCAGAAGGTCAAAAGTATCATTGTAACCGAGGTTACAGTCAGGAGTCCCTTCATCACGTATTCCAGTCAAAATCCTTGGAACTTTCTAGATATGGAAGCGATAATGATAAAAGAAGATGACAAGTGTTTAAGTCCTTTTCAAATAAAATCGATACGGGTTTTGTTTCTTCAATAAGAACACGCAATTCGACACGAGAAAATATAATATACAAGTGTTACACCTTAATATTTTGTCGAAAGTTATTTTGTCATTTATTGTTCCGAGTACGCAAGCGGCGTTCGCAAACTGTATTGCCAGGGAGAGTCTCTGTTTTAAAAAGCTGCCTGTTCTGGGTTCCTCAGTGCTTATGCTTAGGTTCTTACAAAACTTGCTCAAAAAAATTATGGTGCTGGGGACAGCCGCGCCCTGAATCTCAACAGCTAGTGGTTGAAAAAGATATCCATCATCTACAATATCTTTATACTTGTCATTTTTGCGCTCTTCCGCTTCAGCGGCAGCCGTGCCAGGGTTACAAACAGACCCTGCATTAATCCTACAAGGAGCTAAGGAGTCCACTATCGTAACATCCCACAAGAGCTGCTTACCAACAGCCCTTGGAACGAGCAGCAAACTGTCTGGTCGCTTCTGATCGGTCCCGTAGAGGTGTCGTGGTTCTAAAACAGACGGAATGTGAACAGAAGATAAACTCTGCTTTTAAAGGCATTCAGGTATGAATGCCTAGAGAATCTCCTGCATTTTTGAGGCAAGAAAGACCATGCCAACCATCCTCGGTATTGTCTTTTCCGCGCACGCATTTATGCCGTCCGCATAGTTTTGAGCCCAATCGCATTTCTGAGTTGTTGGTTCGACAGTTTTAATCTTAAAATTTTGCACGGGATGACGTTCAACCATTGGGAGCCAAATCTTTCTTGGAACGCGTTGAATCTTCTTACGTCCGTTGGTTCGAGTCGTAAAATCAAGTCTGCATTTTCGCTGTCAAAAATTGGCTCCGTCCAATTTTTTTGGATTTCATTTTCCGGAGCCATTTCAATTTTTCCAAGTTCGAACCACCGTTTAAGCGCATTATCATAGGTTCCTTCCACATGCTCCAAACCAAAGATTTCGCACAAGAATCTTTTGCTCCTACTGCTGAGACTAAGAAAGCGGGTAAAGCGAGTGGACGAGCAGAAGAAACGCCCAAGTCACCTTTGGCTGCCGGAAGAGCTGCTTGTAAAAACTAGTTATCATCCATTTTAACATTAGTGACCTTGCATAACGAATTTCTTAGTAATTTGTCGTAGCGTTTCAAGAAATTATTTTGCAAAAAACAAGTGCTCTTACGCAAAAAATATAAAATATACAAGTTTTGGCATGCTAAAGCAATTTTTCAAGAAATTAAAGCCATCATGGGCGTCTAGTTTGTCAATGTTATCCGAGATTTTTTCAAGCTCCTCAATTTTTTCGTCGAGCAATTCTTTTTGGCAAAATTCGTCGATTGGAGATCCTAAAATGAGGAGTTCTTCTTTTGTTTTTATTTTGGGGCATAATTTTTCAAATTGTGTTAAAATTGAAGTATACTGTGTACTCGTAGTCGGTCCCAAAAAACAAAGTTCGCACTTCTCGGTGTTCAAGCTCAGGGCGTAATTTTGTTCCGATTTCAGATTGTTTTTAAGGTCCCGGAGTACTACCTTTTAGTCGTCGGCTAAATTTCCATCATCTAAAAACCAGATATTAATGTTCGACTCCAACTGTTGGACTAGTGTCTGAATTGATACCGCAGAAATGGGTGGCGCTTCATGATCACCTTGCTGAGTTCCGTCTTCTGACATTATGACAGAGCTTCTGTAAAAAAGGCAACAAGGTTTACTATACGCGCAATGGTGTAATTATACAATTCGGGGCGATTTGAGTACACATGAATCAACATTGTTTCTCGGTTTAGAGAGTTGAAGGCACTCTCAAAATCTAGTTTTGAAAGAACAGTGCATTTTGGAATGTCGTCGCGTTCAATTAGGCTTCATACGAGTTTGGAGCTATTTCTGCTCCTCGTTTGGTACCGCATCCTACCTGTACATTTCATAAACAATTTTGTCGCTCGGAGAGGGCCTTGCTTCCAGCGCATTTAGACGCGATACGTCTCAGCCTGTTGCCTATGGCAATCGGTCTCAACCCTCCGTCTATCTTTATGAGGGCGATAAGCTTTGCCCCAAAACAGAAAAGTCTTAGGGGTTCGGGTATTTTGCCATCTCCAATGACGTTTATCAGCTTGGTAAGTGATTTCAGAAAGTTAAGTCCTGTACTGCCATTCAATTTACTAACAAGATCTTTAAAAATTTCAGGAACTTTTTTTTACCAGGACCTGCTGCTGATCCGTTCCGAAAGCTCATTATCGCATTGCATAGGTCGAAATCGGTTACGAAAAAACTATCAAAATT